CCCCTAGTAGTGTCCTTTGCTCCTACTAGTATGGCCAGGAGCCCCTAGTAGGTATTGTACGCGACATCAATTGAAAGACTTCATTCTTTGGACAGCACTCTTTACGTCCATGCAGCCTTACTGGGACCTGGAACAGAGTTGCCGACTCTTCGAGGGCAGGATCACTTGTCAAGTACATCTTTGTCTCCGACTTGAAGTTTGGAACACGAAGCAGACCAGTTTGAGATCTGCTTTGCTAAAGAAAAAGGTCTTCCGTTATTGTATGAGACAGGAAAGGCTTGTATATGATTCATATGATGTTCTTTGCGATCTCGGAGACAAGGACTTAGTGGCACTACATTTGGCAGTTTGGACGACCCTGCTCAGTTGTGCTGGCAGGCAATAAAGAGCGCACACAAAAAGAGGACCAATATAGTAGAAAGCCAATACCACACAGATGCAACCAACTTCTGTATAATCATGTGATCATCTTACCTGTCTTGCACCCTTCTTTATCTTTTGTTGGGCAGGACACCGACCACTTTTTTGCACTTTTGGACATGAACGTGCCCACTTCATTCTTCAGCAGCGTGTTCACATCCTTTCTTCCGCAACATCATTGTTTTGGGGACATTGTCATCCAAGAGATATGGGATTTAGTGAGTCCAGTGTGGCGCCAGTGCAACATGGTTCGACCGAGCATGGCCGGACGTACGGAAGTACGATTCGACCTCAAGTGTCACTGGAAGGCCTTTTGAGGTTGGAGGCCATCGCTCTTAGGTTGGAGGCCATCCCGACTGACGCGTAGTGTATTAAGGTGTCCTGACTGACATGCCGGATGTGATCCCACACCTTCAACGCAACATCGATGCAGCAGAGCTGTCTCCTCCACCTCGGGCGGTGGCCTACGAGTGGGGCACGGAGTGGGGAGTGGAACACACAGCGGCTGGAACAGGCAGTGGAACATTTGGAGTGGTCTTGGCAGCGGACTGCATTTACGACACGGAGAGAGGGCAGGGATGGGCAGGGCACGAAGACGGAGGCGGTGGAGGCCACAGGCCATCATCGCTACCCTACGAGCAATGGCATCCACACTAGATGGCCTCCAGCCTAGTAGCGATGGCCTCCACCCGTGGAGGCCCCCGCTGACATTTTTTGACGAAAGAAACACCGGAGGACCAGATGCAGCTTTGGGTCTAAAATTGGACCGTGAACAGGTGTTGAAATCATATTCCAATTGATCAGCTTCTTTTGCTTCTTGAAAACTGTTCCTCCAAGCCCCCGGCTTGCATCGGACTGGTGAAAACCACGTGCGTTTCTGACCGCACTTCGCCGGAATGACAGAACGGTTGAGAACCGCTGACCCCAGAGCCAACGAGGAGAATGTCGATCCCTTCGTGGATGCGCTTAGAGAGATATCTGGTGAAGAAAGTGAGCTGCTGGTGGCCTACGACACGGCCTTGCAGCGTTGGGGTGCTTATCGGCGGTTTCTGGACCTTGTTGAATGCCAGTGGCATGTGGAGACTCAACTTGAGGGTGGAAACTGGGGCAAGTTGGAGTGGTCTTGGCGCCTTCAGGCGAAAACACCTCAACCATCCTACTAAGAGCAAGAAGAGCTACTAGTAACAAAGGGCATCGCTACTAGTTAGCAAGGACGCTACGAGTAGCTCCTGGCCTTACTACTAGGAGCAACAAGCTACTAGGAACAAGTGCCTTACTAGTAGGAACAAGAAGCTAGTAGTAACAAGTGCCACGCTAGTAGTAACAGGTGCCTTACTAGTAGTAACAAAGGGCATCGCTCCTACTGAACCGTTTCCCGTTTCCAACATCGCTCCGGTTTGCGAGGAGCTCTTGGCAGACGCACAACTGGAAGGCTTCCGGAAAGCGGAGGTCGAAGTCTACTGGTTGCGCTCCAAAAAGCCGATGAACGGAGCAAGAGGACGCTCCTGGCCTTACTACTAGGAACAAGGACGCTACTAGGAACGCAATGGGGTCTCGCCAGGAGCCCCTAGTAGCTTCTTGCTCCTAGTAGCGATGCCAGGAGCCCCTAGCAGTGCCCTTGCTCCTAGTAGTACGGCCAGGAGCCCCTAGTAGTTCTTTTCATATGCTTTTCATTTCATATACTTTTTGCAAGAAGAGAACATCGTGAGATTCGATGCTCTTTTCGACAGTTCTCTTCCCTTGGGATCTGCAGGGACATTGGATGTGCAGGGACATAGAGGAAATGGATGGCGCCCACAAAGTCATGTGGTGGACAAGCCCAAGTTTTGGTGTATGAAGGCCGTGTATTTGGCCTCGCACCCAGACACCATGACCCTGGAATGATGGTCATTGGAAAACCAAGGCTGCCTACATTAGGGCTATATAGGGCTTAATCTCTTTCACATGAGCTTCCATCGGTTTTCCCATCTCCACAATGCTTTTCACAAACCCAAATGCCCGATGCTGAGGATGGTACCAAGATCGAAAGCGACAGCTCGGGGATCCCAGACATTGGGTGCCCAAAGATACGAAGTTTGGATCCTGTTGGACCTCGAACTCGACGTGAGTAGGGTGGCCATCGCCAGTAGGTTGAAGGCCATGCGGCCATCGCTAGCAGGTTGGAGGCTCTTGTTGATTTGCACCAGGCAACAGACTGCTGAGATTTGTTTGCTTTGATTTGACTGCTGGGGTTCTTCTCAATGACTTGGTGGCTGACCGGCGTTTTGGTCCACCGCTGCGTTGTTTGCCCACTTGTCTCCCACTCTGTGAACGGCGTTTTGTTTGCCACTTCCTTGTCTCGTTGCTACTGATCCCCAATTGTTTGCCCACTGCTCTGCCCGTGTGATCGGCGTTTTTGTTTTCGCTGCCTTCTTATCGTTTTCTTTTGCTCCCCACTGGTCTCCGCATTTGTCTAACTTGTCTTACCACCTCTATGCCCGGTTTCGCATTTTGTCTCTTCTTTTGGTAATGACTGAATTTCTTTATCGTGTTGGGTCGAAAAAATCGTGTAAAGCCGCGGTGAGGAGGTGAAGCATGGTGAAGCTATCCGCGGATTGCCGAGGCAAAGCCTGTGTGATCCCACCTTCGGGAAGGCGGTCTACAATCCTCGGCGGATTGCAGAGTCCTGGGAGGAGAAGAGCAAAGCGGCGAGATGGGAACGAACGAGTCCTGGGGTGAAGTGACGATGACAGTGATGAACGAGATGAGTTGGGCCAGTTGGGTAGGATGACAAGAAAAACCGTTGGGGAGTTTTCAACCAATTTCAATACTCTTGCAGTCCTTGTCCTTTCGGTTGTTATGATAGCAGTCTTTTTGCAAAAGATTTCATTAAATTGCTACTAGGAACAAGTGCATCGCTACTAGTAACAAGTGCCTTACTACTAGTAACAAGAAGCTACTAGTTGGATCCTCTAAGGTAGCTTCTAATTCGAATTAGATTTAAAGGATTCAGCCTGCTCAAAGAGGTTCACCAATCTCGCACAACAATAAGGTTGCATCCTAGTTCTGTGAAACTACGGTGGAGGCAATCGCTTGTAGGTTGGAGGTCATTGCTATTAGGTTGCTTTCGCTATGTTCCTAGTCTCCTAGATCGCAGAGGCAATGGCAGCATTCCAAGACTGTGGGTCCTGCGTCACTGTACCAACCATTGGCGCATGGAACGAAAGTGGAAGCTTCTTACCCTTCGCCCTAAGTCCCAAAGCCCAAGACCTAAGGCAACAAACTGGATGTGAAAGGTCTGAAAAGGAAAGACACGTCTCTGCTTGAAAGGTCTAGAGTCTAGAATCAGAGTGAAAGCAAGAAAGAGACAGAAACACATTCTCACAAGAATCAAGCGTGCAGTTCTTTGTGAGGATTTCCTGGATGCCTTAGGCTTCCAGAGCAGTCCCATACGACAACATGCATCTCGTTCGCACGGGAAAGCGCAAGTTGGGAAAGCTCCGCTCGGGGCCTGAAGAGACGTCCATTTTGCGAAATACGTTGTTGGACCGAGGAGCGAAAGAAACAATCATGACAAAATTCCAACCTACTAGCGATGGCCTCCATCCTAGTAGCTTCTTGCTACTAGTAGCGATGGCCTCCATCCTAGCACAGCCAGTTTGCAGAAGCAGAGCTGTATTCTGCCGAATGACTGCTCAAATCACCAACAGCATTGAGGGATGTTGTGTTTTCCTTCATAATCCGGATCTGTGGGGTGGGTGTTGTCCAAAGCTTTTTGTGTGATTCATTTGCAATATCGAACGTTCTTATACTTTTCACAGGGCAGACTGTTGGACAATCCTCATTTGTTGTACGCTGCTACAGCAGTTTTGCGTCTATTAAGCAGGATGTAGCTTTCTCGCGTGAGAGACAGCTGCTGCAACGACTGTTCAAGTCTGAGAAAAGGCACAGCAGCGCAACTTTCTTTCTGGAACCTGGTTGACTCGGGCCATTTTCGGTTTGACTACAGCTGCCAAACCTTTTTGTTGCGATTGAGTTTCTCGAAAGACACCCATGTATTCCCCGAGCAAGGATTGTTTTCCGTTAGCGGCATGGCGGTTTGCTCGGTTGTCAGGTGAGACAGCTCTTCAATCGGGAGGATTTGGAGGAACAGTTGCAAGGCCATGGTTGTCAGAGGAAGGAGGGAAAAAGGAAAAACAGATCTATAGGAGCCCATTCTTCGATATATTCTTCGATCGTGGAATGCAGTATGGCTCTTGTGGCCCCCTGATCTGACGCCGCATACGGCATGACTAGTGACAAGTGCATTTGCTACTAGTAGCAAATAGCTACTAGCTTCTAGCTACTAGCGATGCACCTGTTAATAGCGATGCCCTTGTTAGTTGGCGTGCCAGGTCTGTTTGATGCATTGTCGGGTGGACTCCCCGCACTGGACAAAGGCTTGAAACGTATCCGTTCTCGGGACGATTTGGGTGGCGGCTGATGACTGACAGTCAGAACGCCAGGAAGAAACACATCGCTACTAGGAGCAAGGACGCTACTAGGGGCTTCTGGCCGTACTACTAGGAAAGTAGCTACTAGGAGCGTTCGGACGCTACTAGGTAGGCTCCTGGCCTTGCTACGAACGGAGCGATCGGACGCTATTGGTTTGTTTTCCTAATCGATGAGAGGTTTCCAAGCTTTAAGAGCTGAGATGGCAACTGCCGCGCATTCTGTTTTGGAGAAATGACCAGATTCCCAAAGGCTTTTGCAAGGCCACTTCGAACAGTTAGTCCGCTTGGTGGTCCGATTGTGCCAGTGGTGGTCGCCCGATTGTGCAAGTCACACAAGTCGCCAGGTGGCTTCTTGAATTTCAGCTCCAACATTCGTGGACAGGCTGTATGTACAGCACCGCTCTGAAATAATCAGTAGAGCCGTCAGGGCATGCCCAGGGTCGAAGTCTACAAACTTTGTAGTTCTTTTGTCATGGTTTTGAGATGTCTAGCTCCAGGTTTTTGGTCAGTGCATTGATCGGTCTCTTGGAAGTTCAACGAAAACCGCAGAGCAGTTCAATATTGCGGTCGATTTCATGTCAATAGAAGCCAGTTTGTCGCCAGGTTCATGTTTTGATGGATATGAAAACAAAGATCTCGTTGCTCCCTCCAACAGCAGAGGACTGAGTGGACTGAATAGACTCGGAGACTAGACTAGATAGTGTGAAGCATTTTTCGGTAAACTACAGTAGAGATGTACAGCATAACCAGCATCATGAAGTATGCATGAAACCACTGCGCAGCCCCTTTTGGATTGAGAAAAAGGTTCACATGGTAGCGGGAATCCCCTTTGAGCTCCAGAGAAAAGGTGCTAGGTCACTAGGATCCCGGGTGAGATTTCGAGCCATAGATTCGGGGCCTTTGGAACACAAGCAGCTGGACTGGTGATAAATTGTTGCGAGCGACACTCGTTGTGTCAGAAAGACATTGGAGATGGAGGAGATCAGAGAAATCCTTCAAACTATAGCGCAGAGTACGCTGGCAACAGCATCAGCAGCTGAGGCAGTGAAGAAAGCAGTTGAAGACAAGAAGTCATCAACACCAGGTTGGTCAAAACAGCTAGCAAAGCCCAACATGTTAAGTCACAAGAAGGAGAGATTAAGGCATTCGGAGAGTGGTCATGGGTACTTGAGAAATACTTGAGTGCAGTTGATGAGGGCTACATGAAAGACTTGAAAGAGACTCATGACGAGCCAAACGAGAAGTTTGACATGGTGTATGAAGCTCTATGGATTGATAGCTTCACGTATGAGGGGAAGAGCACTACAATTGGTGAAAGCTGCAGATGATCCCAACGGATTTGATGCCTGGAGGAGTTTGATCAAAGCTTTGAAGCCAACTTCAAAGGCTAGCGGCTTGAGGAGTGGCAGTTTTGGGAGCAACAACTACATGGCCCGCATTTTCAATGAACAGTGCACTACAACCTCAACTTCTGAAGCTTGCAGAAGTATTTGATGAGACGGTCAAGGCAGGGACGACAATTCAAGAAGAGTTGAAATTTGCTATTCTTTTGAGATGTGTAGGTTGACAGCTCAAATCATAGTTGAATTTGACGATTGGCGACAATGTTCAATACTCAACTTTGAGGGAACAAGTGTCGCAATGGGTTTGTTCTCAGCAGAAGTGGGCTACTTCCATGGTGGCAAGTAGAAGTGCAGACTATCAAAGACCCATGCCAATGGACATTGATCGAGTCCAAGATGCCAACGAAAAAGGTAAGAAGGGCAAACGCAAAGGAAAGACCGGAAAAGGAGATCATAAGGGTAAAGAAGGTGATCAGAAGGGCAAGGTAAAGGACAAGACAAGATAAGACCAGGTGTGGCAACATGTTACACTTGTGGAAAGCCAGGACATCTTGCTCGAGACTGTTGGAGGAACAATATTCAACATATTCAGGAGGAGCATCAGTGAGTAGCTACTCAAAAAGTTGGCCAACAACAAGCCAACGTTAGCCAGCAGAGTAGCTCAGCAGAAACCAAACCAGTGAATTGGGAACAGTGGGCCAATCATCTTTGACTTGCGAGAAAGGGATGAAGAAGTAGAAGGCCATGGAATTCGAGTGATTCACTTCTATATTGGAGATGAGGATGATGATGAGCCAGAGATCAAAGAGGCTGAGCAGTTGTGAGGAGGCGTGGGGAAGAAAATGAGGATGTGGCCATCATTGCTGACTGTGGAGCTGCTGTAGCATTACTCCCTCTGAGTATGTGAAATCATGGGGAAGGAGAATGCGAGTTCAGTGCAAAGACCAAGCCACAAGATGCGCAGGGGAACCGTATCCCCGCCGGGTCCTTGCATGACCTTGATGGACTTGAAGTATTTCGCAAAGAGAATGTGATCTTCAGTTCAAAGGTAAACCAGCCCATACTTATTGTTTTGGAAGGTAGATGGAACATGGTTGGGGAATCATCGGTCGAGAGCAATCCTTGGAGAATGGTGACTTGAAGGTGCCAGTGCCTGAGGCTTTGGAAAAGGCAGCAGGTTGGCCAGTGTGAGCAAATTGGGAAGATTGGCGATGAGTTCAACATCCTGAGGAGAAAGTGCAAACCAGGGCCTAGGGAAAGATGGACTATGGACCCAGCCAGGTAACTACATCCAGCAGATGCTGAAAGCTTATGCAAATTAGGAAGATCAAACGCCAACAGCTACCATCAGACAATTCAGTTCAGATGGAAGACAAATCAGAAGTCTTGCAAGGGCAAGAGAATATTAGCCTATTCAGAAGCATTGTTGGATCAGGTATCTACCGATGTCAAGAGACGTATGATGCGGCGTTTACAGTGAAGGAATTGGCTTCAAGAATGTCAAACCCAACAGCTCATTTCACCGCTTGAAGGGTCCTAGGATACTTGAGGAAGACTATGGACTATTGTCTACTTGTAGTTGATTTTCCACAAGAGGAGAAGGCTATATCAAGAAAGGAGAAAGCTATTGGTGCTTGGAAACATTTTCAGATTCAGATTGGAGTGGAAACAAAAGCGAGAGAAAGTCAACGTCAGGAGGATTCCATGCATTGAACAGTTGTCCATTGTTCAACAGCAGCAGGACACAGAAGATCATTAGCCTATCTTCATGTGAAGCAGGGTTGCGCGCAACAGTTTCTTCAGCGTCAGGTGGAATTTACATCCGCTCAGTTCTTGAGTTTGCTCTTGGGACAAAGGTGGGCCACTACATCTTTGCAGATTCTTCAAGTGCGCGCCAACTTGTGATGAAGAGAGGAGTTGGAAAAGTCAGACATTTGGATGGAAAGCTGCTATGGATTCAGAGCAGGAAAGACTTCAATATGTTGCAAGTGTAAACATCGCAGACATCAATACACAACCACTTGGAGGACAGAGAATCAGATACTTGATGAACCTCATTGGGCATTGGCACAGCATGAGAGAAAGGTGTTTGAAGAGAAGAAGACTTGGCAAGAAAGGCCGACAAGATTGTGAGGATGGTAGCGTTTGAGGGCTTGCAGCCAATGGTTACAGAAGCTTTCATGAAAGAGAATGAAAAGAACCAGCGGGGATTGGGAGAAGGAATAGAACAGTCCAATGGAAGCTGGAAGGCTTTGATCAATTGTGGTCATCAAGATCAAAAACATTGGTTTTGCAGCAGTGACCTTTGCAATGTGGAAGCTTTAGAAGCATATTGACAACTGCTATGCAACAGCGATGGAACACGCTCGGTTCAGAACAGATGGAGCAGAATTCAGGTAGAACTTGAGAGTATGATCAGAGAGAATGAAGACCATGAAGAGAGATAGGCATTCTTCACAACTATGCCAGGAGAATTCATTGTGGATTGATTCTCAATGGAGGCTTTGTGGAGAGACAATTAGTCTGGAAGATACGAGAGCAACAGAAAGACAATATCAAGGTCATCGTGTGATGTTGCAGGCAGCCTTAGATGGAGCAACTGGACCTAGTAGGAAGAAGACTGCAAGAGGTAGCAGATCAGGTTGAAAGGGAAAAAGAGAAGTATGAAGAGTTGCTAGCATGTGCAGAGATGAGAAGAGACCATCCAGATGCGCAAACGATCTCAAGGAACCCTGTTCCTTAGAGAAAAGAGAAAAAGCGCGCAGGAAACCATGGAAACAGAGCTTAAAGGCAGCTTAAGGTAACAATTCGATCGCTCACACTACAAAGAAGGAGTGTGAAGCATTTTCAAGGTAGACTACAGTAGAGATGTGCAGCGTAACCAACATCATGAAGTATGCATGAAACCACTGCGCAGCCCCTTTTGGATTGAGAAAAAGGTTCGCAGATAGTCCACTGCGACTTGTGGGTGAGACCAACACAGTTTTTGTCCCGGCCTGTAGCAAAACTGCGCATCTTTTCCTGTTACATCAAGGGGATCTCAGGCATAGGCTCTTGAAATTTGATGTGAGCAAAATGTTGGATCTCACGAGTTACTTGGCTCCTAGTAGCGTCCTTGCTCCTAGTAGTAAGGCCGGAGCTACTAGTAGCGTCCTTCCTCCTAGTAGCGATGCCCTTTGTTCCTAGTAGCGTCCTTGCCCCTAGCATGTTGGACTTCACGAGTTAGTTACTTGGCCAACTGCAAGTGGAAGGACTCGCAGTGGATCCAGCAGAACTTCGATGCAGTTTTCCCTGCAGAAGAGCCTTTGGACCGCGCAGCCTTTCCTGGCGTGGCCAAGGCGAACCTCAGCTAAACCGTCCAGTCAGGAACAGAAAGCATCAGGCCAAGGCCTTGGCCAAACATCCCTCTTCAAGGATTGGAAAAACCAAGAGCACGCCAGCCTGTGGCTGTTTGGCTGTTGGCTTTGTTAGTGTGTGTTTGGCCAAAGCGACCGATGAACCGGCTGCTCGCTGCTACCAGTTGGTGCTTTTGAGAAGGGTTGTCCGCACCCTCATCGAATACGTGTGGCGCCTAGCCTATAGCGACTGGCGCCCAGGTGTTTTATTCTGTTTCTGTCGGTTGCTTTTATATGTTTCAAATTCTTGTAAGCAATAGCATTCTTCTTGAAGGGCAGTATAGAGCCCGAAACCCAATGGCTAGGGCTTTGCGAGACACATCTATGAATCCTCTCTTGTGTCTTCTGGAAGTCATTTTCAAGGATTCAAACAATCAGTTTAACGGGTGATGTGAATGTCGCAAGATGCGATCAATTAATTTTCTGTATATTGCCCCGAAAGTTCCGAGTTTTTATTCTCATATCGCCTTGTGGATTCAAGTCTCTTTAAGGAGCGCGCGCGCGTCCATGGGTGAACCTGCCGGATATTAAAGGGTACTTCAAGAAGTATTGCTCGTGGAGAACGCCTACTACGAATGGTGGTTGGAAAAAGGCGCTGGAGCGAATGTTTGTAATCAACCTGTGTTCTACTCCATCAAGTGGATGTCTCACAAGACCAAGCGTCGTCGGGAACAAGAATTCCACTCAGACCCTTTTTCGCGAGATCAGCTCCGGTGAGATTATTTGCAGTAGAGTCACTTGGGTCAAGGGGATGTTGAAAAGAGCGATGTGTGTGAAGTGGGACGCCGTGAGTAGTCGGATTGCCCCGGGGGGGCAGTGGGCGTAAAAGCGGGTGAGCGTCGCAGTCGGAAACGTGCTCGACGAACTGTACCTGTCGGATCAGGTGGGGCAGAGCGCAGCGTTTGGGCATTTGGGACTGATTCGGCCCGAGCATCAACTTGGTCAGCGGCCACTTTTGCCACGGAGACCTTCCATAGTGGGCAGAGACCGTCATCAATGAACTCTCAGACCGTGATGATGATGGATCTCTGATCAATTCCCATGGTATTGATGTTGTCCCCTGCGAGAGTGTGCAAGGACGGGTTGCGATGGTGAAGGAGCTTTTCAAGCGAATGACACTTCAATGATTTAGGGCAACGCCTGTATGCGCTGGTTGTTCCACCTACCCCGCTCGGCAACTTTGTTCGATCATCTTGCGTGACCGCGCAACCCTCCATTCAAGAAAGCGGGGACGTTCTGGTGATCTGCTGCCGATTCCGCCGTGGAGGGTCACTACTGACCTTTTTTGGGGTGACGGATGCCATTGAGTTCTGGGTAAAGACGGTGATCTGTGTCATCAACTACCACTGTTGTGTCGGCTGGAGCAAGGCGGTCGGCGTGCCCATTGCTGATGAATTGTCGGAACTTCAGATTGTGGCCAGATGGCCCAAGTCATCACAGCAAACATTGTTTCCGGGGCACCACGAGAATCTTGGCGTGACTCTTCAGTTCAAATAGATATGGGTACGTTGGAAACCCAGTGGAATACATGGAAGAATTGGAGTGATAAAGTTTTGCTGGTGTGGGCAAGGCCAGGACAAGCCATCCAGCCCGTGGAGGCATTCCTATCACAGAAAAGCTTTCGCCTTGCTGAGGAGCCTTCTCCACACCCCGGACAAGATGCTGAAGCAGGCGCTCCAGAGTAACTGATGAGGAATGGTTCAACATAGTCCGGAGCGGACAGCAAGCGGGACAGACAAAGGCATCTCAGCGCAAACGAGTCTACAGGGAGAAGATTGCTGAGGCGCCCAAGATACGTTGTGTTGGTCAACTGACTGGCGCCCTTCTTGAAGAAGACGAAGGACTCTTGCACGACAGTGAAGATCTCCAGAGTGCGTTCAGCTTGTTTGCTGCGCCGGATGTATATGGTTACCTTTTCTCTCACGCAGCAAAAAAGTGGATTCTTCCGCATTTGGACTACTGGAAGGTAAGTTGGTCCGACCTGCGTTGAGCGTCACCCCGACGGGGTGGCGTTCCGCGGTTCCTGCTGAAAGAAGACAGCGGTGGCTTTGATTCAAGAAGCTGTGAGAAATTTGGTCTTGGGAAAGCCCGACCCACCGAAAAGCGCAGCTCCTTGCCGGACGAGAAGAAATTCACTCTCGTATACATGGACAAATACAACGAGATTCAGGCGCCTTGATATGGACTTGGCAAAGGGCTACGTTGGAGGAACATTGGAAAGCAATTGGTCATGCCGTAGGGCTACAAGGAGGCGAGCTCAACGGGGAACTTGGAGATCTCAAGCTCCAGAGCGACAAGCTACGGGCTTACGTTGAAGTGAGCTTAGGCCTCCTGACCAAAGACGGCCTTCTTGGCGACTTTCAAACGGTCGATGTTCTCAGGGAGGGCTAATGTCTTGACGGCGATTGAAAAGGCAAGGGCCGCTCCGGTGGGAGCGACTTACCAGGTCACTGATGAGACCCTTCGTATGTTGATCCAATCACCCCTCAGCCGGGAGGTGAGCTGCGCTGATGCCTCGCCGTCAGGTGGGGGCAGTCCGGTTGCCACTGAGGTTGCTTGATGTTCATGCACCTCCTGTGGTCAATTAACGCGGATCATTGCCGCGCGTGCCAGTATGACTTTCAGAGTGGTAGAGGGTGGACGCAATACCCATGTCCGGTGCGCTGTGGCGGAGCCTTGTGCTCTGTAAACAGGCACTGTGAAGCATCGAGAATCCAGGTGCGCCCGTGACATGTTTCCAGCCCCCGTGTTCGGGAATTTCAGTGGATTGAAATTTACCCCTACGAAGCTATTTTTTTGGCGGGGGTGGGCGTGCGACCGCCTCGAGACATCCTCGCGAAGGACGATCCCTGGGACTACGCTATTGAAAAGGGTAAGGATCGGCTAGATGAGTATGAAGCTGATGGCCAGTCGAAGCAAGACGTTTTCTGCTGCGAGGGGTTACAAGGACCAAAAGCTGTGCGGAGTGTTGACAAGCCCTGCAAACTGGATCATCTCAACCCGTCAGAGCAGATCCTGGTTCGACGTGGCAATTGGCAATGCAATGGCCACAACAAAAGCTTGAAGGGGTTTCAAGACGCCTGAGGAAGAGGTTTGCTTGCTTGGAGCGAATTGGCTTCAAGGACAGGGATGTTCCACTCTTACTTTTCTACTTGCTGCTTTGGAGGTCGTCGGGCGAAGTGGACAAGCTTTTTGCGCAACATCCCTGAACTGCGCGTGGCAGTGAGCACGCCTGTATTCCCACGACGCCCAGGTTTATTGCCGTATAGGTCCACGACGAGGACGGCATCTTGAAATTTGATTCTGCAGCTGAGGCTAAGTATTCCTCAAGCCGGACCTCTTTCCCTCGAATATAGATGCGCCTGAAGGGCCATCGCAAATGCCTTAAATGCCTTTGCTCGCGGCCCACATCCATCGTCCGAACGATGCTGAGCACTTCCTTGCGAGAATTCTCGGCCACTTCATCATTTTGCGTACCCCTTGTAGAACGTTTCAGGGCTGCAAGGATGATGGCTATCTTTGCATCCCAGTTCTGAACTCCGAACGGGATAGTCACTCTTGTGCTCATCCCCGCTTTCAAAGCCTCCGCATAGGCCTTGCAGAGTCTACCAAAGAGGATGGATCGATTGGCCCGTATCCGGCATATCGATGGCAATGGAAAACGAAGTTGTCCTACCCTTGGCAACGTACGCAGCGCATCAATGTGTTGGAAGTGTCTGCCCAGAAGGAGGGTTCGCGATGTGTCGCAGCTTGGGACCGTTCTTCAATGCACTGGCTTCTGTCTTTGATCTTACCTGGTCCCTTGTAGCCTCCGTTGTGGCAGCGCAACATATTTTTACGGTGCTCAAAAAGGATTTGATTACGTGGCGATACAAGGCCGTTGGAAGGATGAACGCACTGGCAGATGAAATTCGACCATCCTTCACCTTCCTCCAAGGCCCTTATTCGCATTTTTCTCCCCAATTTACTTTTGTTTCACACTTCGCTGCGGAAGTGACTCGTGGAGTTTGTGGTGCTCTTCCTGTTCTGACTTCACTTTAGATGGGCTGGTTGTGGTGCTTCCTGGTTCTTGGTTCTACTCTGTTATTCAATTTTCTTGAATAATTCACTTTCACTTGCGGGTGGGCCCGTGGTGTAAAGGCTGAATTCATTTCACCACGTACAGTCTGCATCACAACCTTTGCACATTCCAGTTGTGTGGTCATAAAAAGGGCTCCCTTGAGCATACACACAAAGTTAAAAATGTATATATATATACATATATGTTTGTGTCTCATTGAGTTTGGATCGCTTTGATTCAATTTGAGTTTTGCTCTGATGGCGCGCTTTCACTACAAGGTTGGAATTGAAGAGTTGAAGGTGGAAATTGTCGAGTCGATATTTTTGTGTGAAAACGTTCTTGCTGAAAGAAAGCCTGGGAAAAGAACAGGAAGAAAGGACAATTGACGGTTTTGCATGGTGCTCAGGGATAGTCAAGTCGAAGAAGTTGAAGGGCGAAGCGGAAGAACATTTTTCTAGGGTTGAACGCGAACAATTGTTTCTTGTATTTCACTGTCACTCCATTCTTCATTGTCTCCTTTTTGCTATTGGGTTGGAGGCCATCGCTTCTAAGTTGAAGGCCGTCCCTACTAGGTTGGAGGCCATCGCTTCTAGGTTGAAGCATCGCTACTAGGTTGGAGGCCATCGCTTCTAGGTTGAAGGCCATCGCTACTAGGTTGGAGGCCATCGCTATTCGGTTTGTTTCTTGTTTCCTATTTTTTCCTTTCCGACCTTTGAATCTTTCTTGTTTGTTCCTTTCGTTTTTCTTGCTTGTCTCACAGGTTTAAAACGTGCTATGGAAGTTTGTGTTTTCATTAGCGCCCGCTGTGCAGAGATATAAGGCTGGGGCATAAAGAAGACCTACCAAACCCACCCCAGGGTTACTCTGAACTCAATCAACGTGATAGGGTGGAATGGCGGCACCACTGGTGGTGGACATTGCTGTGGACCTGAAAAACGGAAAACCCTTCCACCTTCACACTGTCCGGGGTGCCAAGCTGCAAACGTCCAAAAAGGCTGAAAGGCGCTCATCTATGACAAGGTCGCATGTTGACACAATGTATTCTACGTTCTACCTGCTCTTTTAGGTTGGAGGAGATCGCTATAAGGTTGGAGGCCGCCGC